TCTTTATTATTTTTTTATTTTAATTTCTTTCTATAATGAAATTATTGTGAAATATATTTTCATTGATCAGTATGCTAAATAAAACTATAAATCCTTATAATGCAAATTTGAAAAATCTTGATTATAGAAGGGATTGAGTTTTTGACATTTCGTAAATCAAAGTTTTTTAATTAGTATACAAAATTAAATTCGAAAAAAAAAACATGTGTGTATATTGTGTAAAGTATTTATACACTATTTAATTTTAAATCCATTTACATATTTTAAATTGATTACATAAATAAATAATACTAATGTGCATTAAATATAAATTTTTATATATAAATTGATTACATATTTTGAAATGAATGATGTGGAGAAAGGGAATAAAAATATTTTGTCTCCAATGTTTAATGTCAATTGTGGAATAATTTGACACATGTAAGATAATAATTGGTTAGTGAAGAAAAAAATATTTACACATGTTCTATTTTATATTATATCATTTATTTTATATATTTTTCTACATATAGAAAGACTTCTACATTTTTTAAATGCCACATTAGATTTTTGGAGCTAGATGGCAATGAAATAGAGCAATCCATTTACAATTGGAGATGCTCTAAAACTGTTATTTTCTCTTATATCAATGGATAAATATATATACTAAAATCAAATTTATATTACTATAAATGTGTTAGTAAGATAATATATTAATTATTTTACAAGTTATCCTTAACATGTTCATATCTAGTGTTCTGCTTAAAAAAACATTGATTAAAAGGGGTGGAAATGGATTACAATCCTATTGTTTAAAAGAGGTGGAATATAGATTATAATCCTATTGTTTTCTACACTTAACGCTGATTAAAGAGGTGGAAAATAAATGATAACCCTATTGCTTTTTATCAATGTTATGAAAACCGGACCGGACCGACCGGTTCAACCGGGAACCGGCATCCATTCCGGTCCGGGTGGATGACTGGAGCCGTTGACATCCAAAACCGGGAGAAAACCGTCTGAACCGGTAGAAAACCGGTTGGACCGGTAAACCGGAACCGGTTGGAACGGATCAACGGTTTGCATAAATTGCCTTGTTTATGAAAAATCCGCGTGAAAATCGCTGCAAAATTCATTGTTGCGGAAGCCCAGATCTGGCCGTTGACGAAGATCTCGTCGGCGTAGACCGGCGACGGCATCCCGGAGATCCTGGAGATCTCCCCGCGAAAGCGAATTCGAGTTCTCCGCTGTGCTCTTCCGACACCGTTTCCAGTAGAATCCCCAATTCTCCTCAATTCTCCTCTCGCTGAAAAATTCGAAATCGAATCCCGAACGCCCGCTTTAGGATTTTTCGTCTCGATAACTGCTATTGAAGCTGGGGAGAATTTCTTTTTCTTGATAATTTTCCCAATTGTTTTTTGTGCACAGCTTTTGATAATGCTCAATAAGTGTAGCGTGAAAGATTGTGTATACTTACTGTGACTTATGACTTTCTGACTCTGTATACCACCTTTCCAAATTCTAAAATATATATATATTTTAGAATATATATATATATACATGTATATATATTTTATTTTGTATTAATGAAATGAATAATATTTGGAGATATTATATTGTATTTCTTGGTTGAGTTAATATAGAAACTTTTATTTTGATGATTTATAATGTTTTGTATAGGTAATTTAGTACTTAAAATACTATAAAATATTTATAAATATTAATAAATTAAATACCGGTTCAATCACTGGTCGGACCAGTGAACCATTGAACCAGTAGCTTGACCGGTTCGATGACCGGTCCGGTTTTGAGAACATTGCTTTTTATACTTAAACGGACCGAACATGTGAAAATAACTCATTTAATACATTCCTCCCGTTCATCGCACGGGGTACGTACTAGTGGTTATTGTAACTCAAGAAACACTAATAATATAATTAGAAGCTTATAATTGTAAGGTTAAATTTGTAAGTGACTTGTCATTGTTAGTCATTGTATGAGTCCCATTGTACCAATAGCATTTTCCTTAGATAAAACATGGAGAGGAGAAAGAAAAAAGGGGTAATAATGAGAAAGGACAGCAAATAGACTATGTAATGACTAATAACATCCATACCTACTTTCCTATTTTTGAACTATAGTGCATTTAATAAGAATTAATACATCGCCCACAAAATGCCGGAAAATTTAAAAGACAGTGATCTAGCAGGCGTAATCCCACAATGATTTTTAAAATGTTCACACATTAGGCACATGATTAACTAAATCTGCTATCCAACTAAAAGGTAGAAATAAATTGTTTGCATGACATATGAATAAAATGACAGGAAATCTTTCAAAGATGTGTTATTTTAGATAATCTCACATAATTATATAAAACAAGAAATTAAAATGGGCAATAGCATTATACTAGATATCAAAAACACTCTTAAGCTCACGNAAAAAAAAAAAAAAAAACTCTTAAGCTCACCTGTATCTGAGCTGTCCCACTGCACTTGATCAAATTCAAGGTCCTCGTCTTCTTCATTTCCAGTAGGAGCTTCAATGACACTTAAAGCATTCCTCTGTAACTTTACCTCAATTCCATTTGTGAGAACCTATTTAGTCAGTGAAAGCACGTGTAAGAAACTATTGCCAATGAGAATGGGGAGTCGTGGTGTCCTCTCCAGAATTTTTCCAGATAAGATATTCATTTCTGTTTCAATAGAATTATATTATGAACCCAAAAGCAAGTAGCAAGCATTCATGGACTGCCGTGTTAGATAATACAATTGAAAATTTGTCCTCAAATAAAGAAACAGAATAATATTAAAAAATTAAATAAATCAATATCAGGGTTGTCTCAATCCTATCACCCAATGATGAAGTTATATACTCCAGCAGAGTTAGATTTTGCAGAGAAATGCACCAAGATACAGAGCACAGACATTTGATTGCAAGAGAGTTCAATTACAAATGACTGCATTTAATAAAATCGGATAAAGAAAGAAACTCAAAACATTCAGAAAATTCTCACAACACATCAGATCCATTACCGGAAAACCGGAATGCAACCAAACTACATTTATAACAAAATCAGAACTCCAAAGTAGCTCAAGCTATAATTGGTTCTAAAACTTCCACATTTCAACAATTCAAACTCGAATTTTTTTTTTTAAATACTAGTTAAAAAACACAAGCAATCAGAAAAACACAGCAATCACAAGTAAAACAAGTTGCAGTCACAATGCATTGTAGTCAAAAACCATCAAATCCCCATTAAGAACTTCAAAAGACAATGTAATAAGCAACTCAAATTATATCTCAGTAAAATTACCAGCCAATGCCAACCACCAAGCCCAACAGCCTTCTTCACCACACCTTCAAGCCCCACGAGCACGGACTTTGTACGGTTGTTACCAGTCACCACGACCTTCGTGTGCCGCGGCAGGACGGAGAGTTCCTCCTCGCAGCTATCTCCGCTGCCGTTGAGAATCGGGGAAGAGTTCGCAGATAGCCCGCCATTGCTGACGCCAGCTGAAGCTTCAAGCATTTTCCAGTTTCTCAAAAAAGAAAAAAATTGTAAGAGAAAACACGAATTGAGCTCAATCCGTGGAGCCTCACGCCATGAAATCACCCCTGATTGAAAGATAATTCATTGCAGAATCCGAAAATCAAGCGATGCGTGTGAAGTAAGCTTAAAATTTGAGGGAAATTTGGATTTTTGTGAGGAAGAGAAAACACAGTGTGTTGATGGAGAGAGAGAGAGAGAGAGAGGGAAAATGAGAGTGACCGCGTTATAGCTTTAATTATTGTTTGCAAGCGCTGTGAATCCCGAAGACCTGACTCTGACGAATGGTAGAGATCCACGTGGCAAAGAGGGCTCCCCAATCATGCACTTGAGCCATGAATTTGCACCTTTTGTGTGATGCGATTCACCTACAGTACTGGCAATGAAAAGACCGATTCGCCCCAAGGTTACAGGGAACACTCAATGCTGCCTCAGGGCCACTGCAATAACCTCTATTGGCCCTTGATTTCACCCACACACACCCATGTGGGTGTGTGAAATCAAGGGCTCTTAGAGGCTGACTGTAGTGTCCAAAGGAGCAGCACCGAATTTTTCGAGTTATAGTAAAGATAATATTGCGTTAAATTTTCTCCAATATCCAAAATTTGAAGATGATGTAAATGACAACATGCTACACATTATGTTTGGTATGGTTAATTTTGAAAAAAATGATATGATTAGTTGTTAGTGAGATTCGAATCTATATTAAAATAATATTTAAAATAAATAATTAAAGTTGATTTGATGTAAAAGTATAAGAGATGTGATGTGAAGTGGTGGTTAGTTAAAATCATGTGAATAAATGAATAGTAAATTAAGATTGATGTAATATATAAGAATAATTGGTTGAAATTATTTAATAATATAGATGTTATTGCGATAATGAGATTGAATTAAAGTTAAATAAGATTTGAGTTAAAATAAATAATTCATTATAAGTGATTCCATATTTTTAGATAAATTTGTATCCAAGCATATAAGGACCATCATAGTGGAAATGCATTTATAATTGGAAAGGATACTTCGGTAAATTCATCCTAAACATTGTGGCGGGAAATAAGTGAAGAGGCGTTTATGGAAAGAATAAATAAATTAAGTGGGTCCCGCATGTAGCGCCACCTTAACATCTTCTCTGATGGGCTACATGCACCTCCTAACTTTATAACATTCAATTTCGTCCGTATTATC